TTTAGGAGGAGGGGCTGAAGTTGACATTTTCTAAGCAGACTCTCATGCCAAATGGTGAAGGGAGTGCACGCAAAAAGAGAAAGGACCACGAGGTACAGAAATGCAGTTTCATAAATTTGCCCAACTCCGTTTTAAGGAAAAAGTAACCTTTCAGTTTACATTGATGCATTTTAGGTATTTCCAGCTGTATAATGTGTTTGTTTTCTGACATTTAGCTGGTAGATGCCGAAGGGGTTCTCCATGCTCCCCGTAGAAGGGACCTTCCTAACTGGCTCAAAGAAAACCCAGATTATGAAGTGGAGGGAGACATGTTAGAAGTAAGTGCGAAACTCAGGTTGAACTGTCTTCTCTGAGTTCTTCTTGGACCGACACAGCTAAAAATGTCCCTTTCTTTGTTGCAGTTACTGGTGAACCAGACCAAAAAGAAGAGGAGGAGGAAGAGGGTAGAGAAAGGAGCAGCACTTACTGGCAGTGAGAGAGTGAAGGTTATAGACACAAGGACAGGAAAGAAGGTGAGAGAAGACATTTGGCAGTTCTGCCATAAAGGCTGATTTATACTTCTGCGTCGGACCTACGCCGTAGGTTATGCGTCGGTTTTCATTTATACTTCTGCATCATTGTCTTCGTCAACGTGCAATTACACATGCAGACCGTTAGTATGCAGTGTCCACGGGCATGTTGATGGTGTAACCCACAGTATCAAGGCAAAAGCCGAAGAAGAAGCTGCAGCAGTGATGGTGGCAAATAGAAAGTGACTTCTTTTGCAGCCTGAGTTGTTAAATATCGAAGAACAGATAATTTATTTAAAATAAAAAAACAGGAGACGACAACGGAACACGAGAGAAGTTGGTGTGTATGACCATTGCACGAAACAAGACAACAGGAGGGAGAATTTGTCATGGTTATGTCGCAAGCGGTAGGGGTGGGGCGATATAGCCTCAAAATTATATCACGATATTTCAAGAATATTTGCGATAACGATATTTATGACGATATAGAAAGAAAAAAAAATGGAACAACGTTTTATTGGTGATTGCAGCTGGCAGGCAGCAGCACTTATTAATGCAAACAAAATGAAGGGCATTTTCCATCCTTTTCCAATGAACTACTGTCATCGATGACAGACTCTCTAATTTGAAGTGTAAATCTATTGTCATAAGGTGGCAGCAGCAGCTGTGTGTTCGACTTGAAGAAGACCAATTGGTGTATGACGTCAAAATACCGCGAGAGTGACTTACCCCTTATTTACACTGCATGTGTCTGCAGCGCGTTTACAGCTCCGACGCAGCCACTGTAGTCAGTGCTTGTGTTTACACCAGCGGAGCCGCGGCACGTTTCAGAAGCGGCTCTCGCACCGCTTCGCTAAAGATATGCGCCTCGCGTATTTTTGAAGGTAAGAGTGTGCGCTCGAATATGCTCTAGAATCGCTCTCGCGATACTTTGTCATATACACCGATCAGTCTGCGCGCTAGGGAACGTATATCCGCCATACGTCATCGCTTCGCTATATCAATGATATCGCGATATGACAGTTTTTTTATCATGTAAAAATGTATACCGGTATTATCGTGGACGGTATAATATGACACACCCCTAGCAAGCGGAAATGCACAGATTTTTTTTTTTGACCTGAAAGGGAGGGGTTGTAGCAGACCATTCACAGCGCTTATGGTCCTCGTAGAATTGACACGTTGTTACATTTCTGGAGAGGTGCACGTCAGGCTGGCGTAGTTTCGACGCAGAAGTATAAATCAGCCTTTATTAACACTTTTCCCCGTTTAGACTACAAAAAGTATCCAGCACAACTATTTTCAACATTGGTAATAAGAAATTCTTTTACACCAAATCAGCATATTAGAATGGTTTCTGAAGCTCATGTGACACTGAAGACTGAAGTAATGGCTGCTGAAAAGTTTTTCTTTTTTTCAATGATTTGCTGAGCATAAAATATTTATTTTATGCACAACAGTCTACAATGTGTTTTATGTGGGACAGTTATTGTTCTTGATATATTTGAAGTTGAATGCAGTTGATCTTATACTCAGTCTTATACGTTTTGTTTTTTTCAGTTTAGTGGAATATACGGGCCTTTACTACAGGGCCTGAGAGAGCACCTGGAGGAGAATCCTGACCACGTTGTAGCACCAGAATGGTCTGAGACTGTTCGCAACTCGGTTAGTGTCTCCTGTATTAGCTCAGTATGTTTATGGTTATTATCCTCATCTACCCTGGTTGTCAAGTCACCTTTATTTGTATGGTGCTTTATACAATACTGATTGTGTCAAAGCAGCTATAGAGTGTCAAATAGGAAAATAGTTTGTCAATAATGCATGAAGACAATAACAGTAATTTTTCCAGCTAAAGTCCGTTCATTGATGATTGGGAATCATGATTGTGTAGTGTATTTTAGGTCAGTCAGTGGTTATTTTTGTGGGATTCAGTCTGATCCTTCTCTTTAATCTCAGGGTTTCTTGCCTGAGAGTTTATTCCACAGACTGTTGAGCCCCCACGCTTCAACCCCCAAAAAGAATCGACATTACCTCTCCACCCCTTCCATCCAGACGGAAGACCCTCTCCTGGGAGGCGGCGAAGGTGAGACATTAGTTTCCGATGGTGCATACATGATGGACGACGAGGACCTGGAGGACGGCAGTCACCTCACGTCATCTCACCACTTCCTTACTCCAGCCTACGATGTGAAGATAGAGCCAAGCGCTCTTGATATGGATGGAGGCGACAGTTTGTCTCAAGGTGGCTATGATAGCTCTGACAGAGAGGCCATTTTGGATGATGTCATCATGGCACCGAAGAATTCAGACTCTTCCTCAAGCTCCGAGGATTGACCAAATCTCATGTTAGATGTAGTAGTCCGAGATCATGACAGTCTTTTATTTTATTATATTCCGCCTTCATTATTTTTATAATTATTATTGATGTTATTGCTTAAAATATGGAGTAACAGATTTTTTTTTCTTGGGTTGGATTTGTAATTGACTGTTTTGTGTAGGAAAAATATAGGCGCCTTTTTTTTTTCTTTACATCTCATTCGGCACATTGAGCAAAATCTTAATTCCAGATGGATGAAATATATCAATTTCATGTCTCACATACTCACAGTAAGCCCCTTTCATTCTTTATTGGCTTGGAAAGGAGCTATTTGTCTCACACCCTCAGGCTGAACTGTTTAACAGTGTGCTGGAGGACCCATCGTCATGCGCTGAGCTGAGCCATTGTGGTGCCTCGGTCTGGTGAAGAACATTGAGTTTTTGTTGGATGTAAATCATTTTTTGTGTGTGTATGTTTGGGGGGGGGTTATGGGTAGGCTTTGGGGTTTAGGTTTAGTTACTGAAACAATGTTAGACAGATGATGGCTGTATTGTACAAAGTAGAGTTGGTCCTATGCCTGCAATGATGCAAAAATTATGCGTTTATTCCCGTTTCAATAACTGACTCCAACTGTCTCTGTGATATAAATATGAATAGCAGTCTACAGTGGAAACTGATGTCTGTTGAATTCATTTCATCAAATGTTGGTATTTATTTGAATAATGACTAATCAAGGCCCTTTTTATTGACTTCCTGGAATACAGGCCGAGTAGAAGAGCAAGTTCATTCTGTCTCTCATATTTCATACTTGGATGTGGTATCAACAAATGTCATGGTCTTTAATGATTGTTTTAATGAATAACAGTTAGTTTCAACGTTGCTTTCTTGTGGATTTAGTTGACACATACATAATTAAATCACCAATTTAGAATAGTTTAAACTCTAAGGTTGACTAACACATTGCTAGACCCAAGAGACAATAAAAATCCCAGAAATTCAGTATGCAGCAGGGTTAACACTTCTTGACTTCTGCAGTGCTGGAGGTAAGTCAGGTTTGACTATTTGTCACGGTTATCTGCCACAGTTTATTTATTTATTTAGTCATTTAGCAGACGCTTTTATCCAAAGTGACTTACAAATGAGGACAATAAAAGCAGTCAAAACTAACAAAAGAGCAACAATATATATAACAAGTTAACAAACAACATTAATGCTTGTTTGTCTTGGTGAAGCTTGCATCTTCCTGAAAGCTGCATATTTTGCGGCTTCTCACTTAAAAACACTTGATTTACTGCCTTCAGCCATTGACTTTTCTGTCCAACATGTGGTTAAATCATTTGACCATCATTATTTAGTATGAGACAAATAGGTAGCTGTTGTGTGGTGCCTTTTAAACTCTGTATCTCAAAGTGAATATGCCTCGAAATATTTCTATAAAAGAGATACAAACCATTGAGGGACAGCTGACATGAGTCATTTTAGACATTTTACACACTTCTGTTACAACAGTTTACAATTTTATCTATCAGGATTAAATGTTTTAAAGGAATGGAAACAGCTTAAAGGAGAGTCGTAAAATTATATTACCATATATTCACTTTAAAAAGTAAAATAAACTGTTTAGATACGAGTGTAGTTTTAACCAATGGGAAGCATGTGATGGCGACATAAAAATGTCATGCACAATAGGAATAGGCCATAAAAGTTATTTTCCTCTTGGGGGCATATGGGACCACAGATAACCGGAATCTTCTTAGAGATGCATTGAAATGACAGGGCAATGTCTTATTGTAAACAGTACATTTGCGAGTATGGGCTCTTTATGTAAAAATGGACACACCTTCAATCTCTAAAAAAAAAAAAAAAAAAAAAAAAAGTAAATATTCCTTCTCCAGTAATAATAAACGACTGTGATTGGTGCACCTTGACCATGGCTGAGAAAAGTAACGCCTGCCATGTGACATTTTAGCAGCGGTCTAGAAAATATGTGGTGGCTATTGAGTTGTAAACACATAGTGAAGAGTTGAAACAGGAAACTGTTATTTAAACGTATGTTTTTTTTTACCAATTATAAACAACGTTTGAGCTACGTAAAATGTTTTCAACAACAAACAAAAAAAATGTATGTAAAACATTTTTTTTTTTTGCCTACGAGTAAAATCTATGATCGGAGTGCGATTAGTCGGACTTGTGAATGCAAACAGACAAACGTAGCAGAGTACCGATCGAATCGGTCCATTTTTAGCACTTGCAGCAAATGTCTGCTGGTGCAACTCTAAAGCTAATTTTCTTCATCGAGTTTGAATATGTATTAAGAATATAGAGTTTATAGTGTTATTTAATGAGACGTTGGATATTACACATAGGAAGTAATGTACCAGAAGTCTCTCCGCGAGGCCTGTGATATGAATGAAACCTCATGTTGGGTTTAACAGTAACATATCTCTGAACTAGCACCATTTAGCCAGTTAACGTTAGCTGCTGCTGGCTGGCTAAATTGGTAAGCCTATATCTACTACTCTTAATAAATGTTTTTATATAAACAAATCTGGTCATATTTGCGCTGCGTGTTGGATCGTCTAATGAGGTTTATTGGCATTATTCAGTCGAACAACACATACCATATGCTGGACAATACCGAGAACATGGTGCTGGTTCTTTTCTTTCAATGAATAGCATTTATTTTTTCTTAGATTACTTGGTCTATTGATTTTTTGTTATTTGTTGCTCTTGGATTGTTACAAGGTCGGCCGCTCCTCTGATATCAAGAAATCCAGAAGACTTAATTTATCCATTTATTTATTCTTCGTATTATACTTATGGATTTGAATTTTTACTCCGATCTCTCGGACGGGACTGGTCAACATGTTGATTCTGAGTTCATGGATAACTCGTCTTACAATGGATATGATTCAGCGAACAAGGTAAATCTGGCACCTTTGTGCAGTAAAATATATTCAGTTTAATGAAGTAGGCTATACTTTTAGTATTGCAGCCATTTAGTGTACCATTGATCTAAATGTTTGCGTACAAATAATACACATTTTAACCTGTTTATTAGTTCGCAGGTGGCAATGATTCATACCTGACCATCAGTGGACCTGGTCATCACTGGTCATCTGAGGTAGTGCTACAAAAACTCAATAAACTGGTCTATATTATAAATTCTAGAATTCTAAGTTCTGTATTATAAACTGTGTCTGTCTCTCTTTCTCTCTCTCACCCTCTCTGTCTCTCTCTCTCTCTCTATATATATATATTAATCAGATATTATATGAAATACAAAAATATATATATATTGATGTAATTTATTTTTATATTTACTTGTGTATTTTTTTATAGTTATATACCATTATATATTAAATTATTTATTTTTTTATTGTTGTTATTATTATTGTAGAAAACATTCCATACGCCCTGTCTGGGTGATGAAGAGTTTGAAATCCCACCAATCTCCTTGGATCCAGATTCTGCGCTCACCATAGAGGATGTGGAGGCCCATTTCGGAGAGCTGGCCGAACAGGCTGAGAGCTCTAGTACTTCTGGAGTTGGAAATAGTCTTGCCAGTAATCCTGTGGTAGGGGGGAATGATCCCTCTTTTGCCTCTGCTTTCATGAATCCATCATCTCAGGGCATAGAGCACCTGAGTATAGGTGTGATTAACCAGCCGGGGGGAAGTGCACTACTGAGCTCAACTCTGGGTGTGGTAAGCTTTTCTTTTTCTATCAGTGATGATTTATGTTCATGTTTTTAGCGTGTAAGAATGGGCATTTGAATAGCTGTTAATGTAATTAGATATGGAATAACTTGTAGATTGGCACACCAGATTATGAGGTTTTTTTTCCTGTCCTGTTTTTTTAAGGATCTTGGGCATTCTGTTGGCTCCCATTTCAGTAGTTCCTCCTCCATGACTATCGATGTTCCAATAAATGACATGAACCATAGTCTCTTGGGACACAACCAGCTCACCACCATAGACCATTCAGATCTAAGTGCTCAGTTAGGGCTCAGCCTTGGTGGTGGAGCCAGTGTGTCAAAGTCTCCTGAACAACCGCTGTCAACCACACCATCCCCTGCTGGCTCGTTGCAGCATGAAGACATGGAGGACTTCAGACAAGTGAGTCTTTTAGTTATGGGCTTGATTGGTGGCACATTTTCTTTCTTTTTCCATCTTGTAACCTCTCCCCATTTGTGTTTCAGAAAACTATGCTGGTAGACTCCTCCTCAACCTCTCCGGCCATCATATCGCACATCCCCAACTTGACGGGTTCCACCCAGCTTTCCTCTGCTCCTCCAGCTGTGGTGAGGAGGGTGGGCGGTAAACCGGCCATGGTGCCTCTGACTACAGTGGACACGGGAACAACACTCGGAGGCAAAAAAGGAAAAAAGAAAAAAGATCCCAATGAACCACAGAAGCCAGTGTCAGCCTACGCTCTGTTCTTCAGAGACACCCAGGCAGCCATTAAAGGCCAGAACCCTAATGCCACATTTGGAGAGGTGTCAAAGATAGTGGCATCCATGTGGGACAGTCTTGGAGAAGAGCAAAAACAGGTGGAGCATAGTTTTTCAATGGCGAAAAATGCAATCCATTTAAAATATACACTACCGCTCAAAGGTTTGGGGCCAGTAATTTTTTTTAAGAAATGAAAATTAATGATTTTGACATCAAATATGCATTACATTAATCAAAAATGGCAGTAACTAAATTATAAAATAAAAAAATCTTAGACTGTCATCCATTGGTCGGTCAAACAGATTGTCCCACCCCAAACTCACACCATTGATTAATATATACTTAAGGCCAATTATTGAAATGCAGTTATGTCAAAAAAGACTGCAAAGTCATTAAAATTCTGTGTAAGAATTATTTAACTTTTTTTTTTTTTTTTTCAGAATTTGACAATGGAATTGCATCTTCTTTTTCCAAATATGTATTCTTTAGAAGTTTTGAAAGAAGGAATTGTATCTGGAAATGTATGATTCCCATAATTAAATGCCGTTTTTATTAATATTTCAGGTTTACAAGAGGAAAACAGAGGCAGCCAAGAAAGAGTATCTGAAAGCATTAGCAGCCTACAGAGTAAATCAGCTCTCCAAAGTGAGTGAATTGTTTCTGGTTCTTCCTCTGTGAGTTTTTGATTTCTAGTCTTATTTCTTTCTTTCTTTTCTTTGTTTCTCATCAGTCATCTACTGAGGTGGAGGATAGCACTCCTTCCACTCCTCCCTCTGTCCATTAGTTAATAAATGAATTAATAACTTTAATAAAAGTTAATAAAAAGACAATCGTTCAGTGTTTGTTCATGTTTTTGTGGCTGTTACTTGACGTAGCGGTGTCTGACTAGGGGCGAGACGTGGGCTGATGACGTCATCGTTTCAGAAATTATACGGATTCGCTGTCCACACGAAAACACAAGGGCGGCATTTTCAGATTTATCCACTCTGGGACCCGGTTTCAAAAAATATCGGTTTCACTCTCCCAAAACGCCGGATCCATGTGGACGAAATGCCTATACGATACAAAATGTATGCGTATACAGCTAAACGCATCTCCGTGTGGACAGGGCCTCAGTCACGGCGTCATCAAACTACGCCTTTGCTTCTTTGTTTATTTTGAATACGCGCCCTCTAGCGGTGAAAAATTACATATTGTGCCTTTAACGATCAACAATACTATGGTACTTAATCAGGAAGTTACCCCTGTGTGACCCCTGTAACACCTCTGCAAAACTATTTTCTTCTTTGGAATATAAAATATTTTGAAGAACAATGGTCACCAAACAGTTTTGGTTCCCACTTCCATTGTATGAACCAAAAATACAATGAAAGTCAATGGGAACCGAAGCCGTTTGAGTAAATGATGACAGAGTTTTTATTTTTGGGTGACTATCCATTTACCATTAACAGAGCTATTGTAATTGAACTTATCAGTAACAGCCATACAGGAAACGATTTAAAGATCAAACACAAGTTATGCACACCGCAAAGAGTTCTTCAGAGATGTTTTATCCCTTCTTTTTCAGATGGAGATGGAGGTAAGCATTGCTCCTGAGGCCTCCTCTTCAGCTCCTGCAAATCTCTGTGTCCGTGCTGGGTGTACAAACCCTGCTGTGGAGAGTCGAGACTGGGATAAGGAGTATTGCAGCAATGAATGTGTGGCCACACACTGCAGGTTTGTTTTTTGTGTTCATGTTTAATTTTTTTATTTGTAAGGTGATTTTTGTACGGTCAGATTCCCATGCTAGTGTCACTGTTTACTCTCTTGACAGGGATATTTTCATGGCCTGGTGTTCAATCAAGAGCCAGAACTCAGCCACCGTCAAATAAATGAAAATCCTCCTGTTTCTGGGTCTTAACATGCCTGGATGTGTCTTTTATTAGAGAACACAACAGAATTTTACTGGATTTACGAGTGAAGGTTTAGTGTTTTGTTGTAAATAGCTAAGGCATGAAAAAAGTAGTGGAAAAATCAGTTATAAATTGAAAATGTCTTTGTTACAACTGTTGGAGATATTAATGAATGTACTGCAAAACCCAACTTGTTTGGTTTCCACATTGAAACAGAAAAGGACCTACGTGATTATTGTACTTTATTTGGACCAGAGATTTATTTTTTATGTACGTTACTAGTGATTTGATTTAAAGCAATTTTCAAATGCAATAGTTGTGATTATGATGAAAAATGAGTATTAGTGAACCTCAAGTAATGCAATCATTCTGCAATTCTCTGTTTTGTTTAATGCAATTTTCTCATGTTGTACTGACAGTATCTTAGATCAGTGTTCAGAAGTGCTATCATGTCAAATCTTTTTGCCTTAGTTGTTTTTTTTTTTAGATTGTGTTACAGAAATTATTCAAGTATTAATAAAAGGCCGCCAAAATGGACTAAGTTTCTGAAGTCATTGCTAACAGACAACTTTGTTTGTAGTGGTTTTTCAGTGCACTATAAAAGTGTCTTTGTCTATTGGTGACTATTCAAAACATGTATTCTGATCAAATATAGCATAGGAGCCAATATAGTAGAATGAATATTTTGAATCTGTAAAAAAATAAAAGTGCTCCATTTTCAGTCAGAAGACTCGCGTTTTATTTTCAGTCACAAAGCATATTTTTTGTGTTAAATGATTCACAGACCTTTTGTTCCCTTTGAACTAACAAGTTTATAGTTTTATAATTTTCAGTTAATGGTCACATGACCATTAAACAAAATGCAAGTAACAAAATATTTCCTATTTTTTTTAGTGTTTTATTATGCTTATTTTAAATAACTTTTATTTTATTAAAAATATAATTTAATTAGCTTTTCATCAATATTCTTCACAAACCCCAGTTTAGGAACCCTGATCTTGATAATCACTTCGAGTGCAAGGTTACTTTGAATGCTGCATGAAAAAGTATTTGTTCCTTTAAAGATCCCAAGGTGATTTGTCCTTAAATGCAGTTGCATCACTTCTGGAAAGACTCGCAAAGTTTCATTTGGAATCATTCTCAAATTTGCTAGCTTAAACCTTTGTCACTAGAATTGTGGAACAGTTTTTCTTCAGTAAACTTTCTCAATTGACAGATCAATTTCCATACTGGTCTCGATTAAAAAAATAAATAAAATCAGCCCAGTAAACAAAGATACAAGGTTATTGTTTATTCAAAAAGAAACTGAATTTTGTCAGTGGCTATGAGGAACGGAAAACAGGTATAGTGAAACCATTTCTTTTGTAGGTTATAAACTCACAAGTCGAAGTTATTACATGATGTTTTTTTATATCAAACTAAAAACATGTGATTGACAGAGCACAGCTGGTTAAAAACAAAGAATAAAACAAAGATTCACGTTTATTAAAAAAAATCTCTGGTAATTTAAGATTTAAAGTGAAATGTTTGCTTGCTCCAAATAATGATCACACATTAAATGCAAGAAAGTACATGTAGAAGATATTATAATGGGAAAATGTGAGCAGTAGTGTTACTAACAAAAATTTTTTTTAGCTTTTCTTAAAATAAGCTTAAAGTGAACAAAGCGTGCTAAGAAATAGTGACGTTTTAAAAAAACATGTAAAGTACAAATCGCTTTAAAAATGATTACAAGGCCCTGTGAATCCTGCAGCATCCAATCATCTCCAGTGTTCAAACACACATTAACCCACTTGAATGGGTTCAGACAAGCATGTTTAAAGATTTAGATTGTTAAAACAGTTATGACAGAAGATAAAGTCATTCTTTAAAAAACAAAAAGTTTAGAAGCATCCTAGAACTATGATTTTATTATTTACATCAAGCAAGAATCAGTCAAGCCTACTTGCGTTGGACTGCATGACTGCACCCTCTAATGCCCTGGGTGTGTTACACTTAGGGGCAAGAACCTAATGAAGAATAAAAGTTTGTATAGTATTAGTACAGATGCAGTCAGGGGCAAAGATTACAATAGAAGAAAACTGTCCAGAAACACTTCTGCGCAACACGACAAAAACATTTACAACATGCTATCACAGAGAAAAAGTGAACGCAAAACAAATCACCCTGACGTTCTTACTGCCATTGTGTGCTATATTTACCGGTTGGATACAGTGGTTCTGATGTGAGGTAGAAATATGGTGTTTGGTTTAGGTCACACACAATGTTTGTTGGTTACTGAAGAGTTCGAAAGCTAACCGGCGCCGTGTGAGAGAGCCTGTGTTTCTCAAGGTTCTTGTAGATCCTAAAACCCTTTGAGCACAGGTTGCAAGTGAAGGGCTTTTCACCTGTGTGAAAGCGCAGATGAGCCTTCAGATTGTTTTTGAGACGGAAGCCTTTCCTGCAGTGCGGGCAGACGTGTGGTCTCTCTCCAGTGTGGAAGCGTTCGTGTCTTCGCAGGCTTTTCCGCAGGGCAAATGTCTTTTTACACCTCCTGCACGAATACGGTTTTTCACCTGTATGAAATCGTTCGTGACGCTTCAGGATCTTCTTGCGTTTGAACTTCTTGCCACAGATCTTGCAGGCATAAGCATTTCCGTGTGTGAGGACACCCTGCAGGCGCCAAATGCCGTTCCCGCACTCTTTAAAGCAGCACAGCCGACGTCCTGTATGGACACGCTGATGGGTTCGCAGGTCTTTGGGTGTGGAAAAGCATTTTCTGTTGGAACCGTTTACCCTCTGCACACTGGACAGCATCAGGAGGTTAACAAGTTGCACAGAGCATGGCCGTAACAGTTTGCAATCGAACGGCGTTTGGCTCAGCTGTAAACGCACCTTCTTCGCATTCGCAGTACTATTACCTGATGCCTGGCTGAGTTCAGTGGCCTCCGCTGGGGTTTTGCTGGAATGAGGAGGTTCTATGAGAGGTGACTTTTCAACAGACGGCAAAGAACTGACTTCCATAAGGCCAAGGTCCCACTGGCTCATACTATCTGTGGAAAGGTCTGCACTGGGAATGCTACCTAAAACAGAGTTGAACGGATGAGACTCTGGGTCTACTACAGAGTGTGAAGAGGATTCCTGAAGACCTAAAAAGAAAAAAAAGGGGGGTGATATTTTATTCTCACAAAAGTTTTAAATTTTCTTTATTTGTGTGTCTTTTTTTTTTTTTGAAAATAAGACGTTAAATTATTGGAGCATCAAAGGGTTTAGTTCTGGATATATTAGAAAGAAAAACTACAATTTATGCATTTAACTCACGTAGTTTAGTATAGTTGGTTAGCTTTGAACAGTAACAAACATTTTTCATATTTATATTTTAAAATATAAATGATTATGAATCAAGCCAATGATTATGAATTGAAACCAAGTCTGGTTTCTTCATACCATTTTCCTGAATTGTCCCAGGCTTCTTTAAGGCATCTGTCCATTGGGCTTCATGCATTAAGCCGTCTTCTCTGCCAATCCCCTAAAACAGTAAATAATACACATGACTTGGTCAGTAGTGAAAAGCAGCAGAAATTGCAAAATTAACATATTACAAATGTTGTGATCTTTTTAGTGCAACATTTAGCTTTTTCATTTATATTAACCAATTTGTACTCTTAAGTCATGGTTCCTAAATGGGGCTTCGTGAGGGAACTGCAGGGGGTTCATGAGATGATGAAAAGCTTCTAATAAATGATATCCAATATAAAACAAAAATAAATGAATTTGGTTGCACAACAACTGCAATATAGCTTTAACAATTATCAAATTAAAGTCTGTGATTTAAATAACTGTATGGTCTTATGTGCTGCTTGTTTCAGAGCAAAGCGCAAATCGTAATCCAATGTTCTCAAATTCAAACTAAATGCAGCGAGCTCAATCTCTGCATGTTCTGCAAGTTTAATGTACATTTGGGAATGCAATGTGCACTAGGTTTACTTTATTTTCACACTCCCAACATAATTCCTAACATTCTGCCAAAATAAAAGCATGAGGATTTGAAATCTTAAATAGCTTGAGGCTTTGAACATTTGAAAGTGAAGAATTTAAGACATAAATGTTAGTATTGAAATTTGTAGTGTAAAATAAATTATTATAATTATTATGAAATAGCCATTTATTTCACAGTAACTTTCAATAGTAATATATTTCTGTGGTCATTTGTATAATTAGAATTACAATTACAATAATAATAATAATAATTATTATTATTATTACTAAATTTGATTCTAAAACACAATTATGAATGTAATGTGGACTGATGTTTGAGTCCACTTTAAAGTCCAGCTACAAAGTCCAAATAAAACACTAAAAAAGATCAAAATGTTTTATCCATTTTCTTCCATGTCATAAACGACACCAAAGAACTGTGAACATGCAAATGTGTTGTTAAATTACTGATATATATAATCTTAAATTTCAAGTTTGAAATGAAAATTGTCTTTAAAATATGTAATGAATATTATTTCATCCAAGTAAAAAATTTCATTCAGTTGACAAATCTAAGAGAAAGTTCAAAATCAGCGCCACCTACAGTTTCTTTGAAGATGGTGCATGGAAGGTCAACCATGCATTGTAAATCCACAGCTTCTGGAGACTCCTTACAGAGAGTTTCAGAGGGAGAAAGCCCCTCCTCTCCTCTGGATTCCTGCAGACCAATCTTGTCTCTCTCAGTGGACACGCACTGATCTGAATAGGGTGTGGGGGTGGGAAAGAACACAATACATATTACAATTCAGAAACATGAGAAAACTGGTCTGTGCAAATGAGTGCTGCTGGCTTTCTTAAAGCACATTATTTAGGGTTTTAAGAGCACATTGCCCTTTCAATTAAAATCATTCAAAATTTTGAATTTGAAAGGTGCAAATGTCTGAGAACCAGCTCTGCTTTACATGGACAGGTGAATAAAAACAGACAAACACAGGTTTATAAACTTTGTCTTGCCAAAACATTTTGATTATAAAAAATGTCATAATATGATGATTAGTTATTTCTCATTTTAAGAAAGGTTGCACACACAAATTACTGTATTTTTTGCATGAAAACTAAGCAATGGTCTGCAAAATTTAAACTGCTGCAAAGACGGACTTTAACCTTGAAATATCAGTCAACAGACTGCTGCAACTACTTTTAAAAGTATGGCAAACCATATTAACAACTATTCCTTAAAATTAAACAGTACTTAGTTTTATGTTACTTGTTATTTTAAGCAATCCAATAATAGCCTAAATAATACATTTTCAGTTTCAATAACTAAGTAACTATTTAATTGTAGTAGTACTTATTCCAACAGTGACTTTTATCTATTCATTTCAGTTTAGAGCATAACATGAATCAGCAAATCACATATAGACGTAATATAGATAGAGATTAATAATTTAATAGATACAGATAGAAAAACTGCAAGAGAGATATGTTTGGCTTGAATGAACACACTAACAAATCAATATGTATTTACTCTCTCTACATTGCACTAATATTTAGCATATCACTATGCAGAAATGTTAC